TTAGAAGTTTGCTCCATTGAGAAGGAAAAGGCTAAGGATCACTGAACAGCATGAGATTGAATGAAGAGGAAGAAGGAATGAAAAAGATGATAATAATGATAAGCCAGTGACGAAAGAGATATTAATTGGAAAACAAGTGTGTAACCGGTTTGATAATGACTACTAATGTTTTGTGTTGATATGATCGGAATTGACAGTTTTCTTAGATGTTCTATGCTTGAATATGAACAGAAATGTCTGTCTGTACATAATTCTTCAATAGCATTCTTGTTTGTGTTCCGTTAAGTTGTGTTGTAAATTGTCATTCGTGCTGTTCATTCTTGTTTTGTTAACACAGCCTTATTATGAGCACTTTCTATCGTACAGTTTTATTTTTTAAAATTAGCAATTTTATCTTCTCTTAAAGCTATCTTCTCCTTCAGTCATTTACCATTCGTTATCGTTTTCACTCCATTTCACACCACTCCATTTCAAATCGATTCAACTTTATTTTATTTTCGTCTCCTTTCCTTTTCTTTACCTTACGTTGCAATTGAACGTACTTTATTTAACATTGCTTATGAGAAATTTCCAATTCATCGTTATTGCTGTTATTATGCCTCTTATTATTGTTAATATTACTTTATCTATGAAACTGATATCTCGTCTATCTGTCTAATCAGCACAACTTTTATTATCAATCGATATATTTTAAGTTGTTGGTATTATAATTATTGCTATTTTTCAGTCGCTTCCAATAATATTTCTGTTTTTCTGATGTGATCCATTTTGATTTCCAACTAATTCATTTGTAAAATATCAACACAGTCGTCACCGTGTTTATTGTTATCATTACTGCCAAAAATCACCTTTACCTTCATTTTCATCTTATTTCGGCGTTCTTAATTTCCGTTCGCCAGTTGTTTGGAGAACTCCCGGTTGCTATTGTTATTATCTCTCTTATTCAAGGTGAATATAACGTGTTAGTTTCAAAATATGTTTTTGTCGCATACTACATTTGCCATTCCATAATACTATTCAATATAATGAATTAAAATTTTATAATAAATAATACAATATCAATAAAATAACATAATAAAATTAAAATAAAAATGTTGTGATATTAATTTAGTTTATTGTGAAAGATTTCATTCAACTTCGAATAATTGCTGCTGTTCCAGATCTTACAGGTGTAACTGTCACCATTATCGTTGAATAATCTATTGATATACCTCGTGATCTCATAATGCGAACAACACCGATAAGATTCGGTCAGTATTTCAGTATCATTTGCGCATTGAAAATAGTTTCAATTTTATTGCTACAGCAATCGGTTTCAAGCAAAACTTCCTCTCTCTCTCCCCCTGCCTACCTCATCTTAACGAGTGAGACTCGAAAGATATCAGACAAATCAATGCCTGGCCTAGGCTCGATAGGGTTAGTGAAACTATTTTTCGTTCATTAAAAGAGACGGAAGCCGTGCATGTATGCGAGGTTTTGATTTCGGAACATGTATTGGTTGAGTGTTTATAAATACTTGAATTCATGTTTCCGAAATGGGGACGTTGGAATGGACTGTAAAGGGTTGTTTAGACGGTCGGTGTAAAAGAATAAGTGATGAATAAGAAACACGCAAAATGGGCAATAACGACTGATTAACGAAACTTTAGCGTCAGCACATTATCGTATTCTGGTGCTGGGTGGTGGTAATGGCGGGTGTGCAGCATCGCACCGTTTCCGTAAACTTGCTCCGAACGGTCGATTAGCTGTGGTTGAACCTGCAGATGTAAGCATGCGTCGCGCTTTTATTTCTTTATTACTCACGTTATATCGCAGAAAGCTTAATACTTATTCATTTGTTTTTTCATTTTGGTTGCTCAAAGCATCATTTCTAACGCATTCTTCATATCAATAATGTTAGTATGTTAGCTGTATGAAAAACAACAATGATGATGTGCATTGTTCTAGCAACATTATTACCAACCTGGCTTCACGTTGATCGGTGGTGGACTGAAAAAACTGAGTGATTGTGTGAAGCCAATGGCGAGTGTTTTGCATAAGGAAAATGTTTGGATAAAGAAGCGTGTAGCCGAGCTACAACCGAAAAACAATGCTGTAATACTAGAGTGAGTGAAGACTTTTTGAATGAAGAGAGGAATCAAAATTATTTTTTAAAATTTCTATTTTTTGATTTCAAACTTCAAAAATTGATGATCATTTAGAATGGTTCAATTTACTGATTGTGAGGATCGTTCGATATCAAATTACTAAGCTATGGGTGACAAGACCTCGGCGGGTTTTTATTTATCCGAACGTCACCTAATATTCACATCCAGTTGAAACGCATCAAACTGTGATGAATTTAAGGAAAGTAGTGAAACCGAGCTATAGCATGAACGCAGCGAATAGATCAATATCCTATAGGTACTGTGAACAGATCAAAACGAGCCTTTAGTGATCACTCGAAACCTAAAATAGATCATTGTAATTGATTTCAATTACTCAAACATTAATTAATCGAGATTGTGAGTGATTATTCGAGTGAATGATTACAGTGATGGTTCAGAAATCAAATACGACTTACTTATTGTTGCATTAGGGTTGGAGACTCGATTTGATATGGTATGATAGCATGTTAATGCGATTCAATTTCATTTATTGCACTCTGTGATTTTATCAATTGCTATTTCTTTGGATTAGTGGTCAACTGAAAAACAATAACTGAAGATTTTAAACCCTAAAAGTACAAATTTTATTCGCATGTCAAAAACTCAAGACATCTTTGCATTATGTAAGACATGAATCCTTTTTGATGGGAATATTGAAGATTTATTTACATTTAGATAACTCGTAAGAGTTCTATCCATACATTTGCACACCATTCATGTTCAATTCTAGTTCAGTTTAGAGCATTTCTCATTGTCAGTGCAAAACAAATGAATACATTCTGCAGGTAGAAGGCTTAACAGAAGCGTTGAAGCTACCACGAATATGCAGTATTTATGAACCAAACCTTGCTGTAAAAACTTTCAACGAATTGCAAGCCTTCGAAAAGGGTAATGCTGTTTTTACAATGCCCAATACGCCAGTTAAGTGCTCAGGTGCCGGTCAGAAGATTTGTTATTTAGCTGATGAAATCTTTAAGAAGGTCAATATATTATATTATGTTATAAAAAGAAAAAATATATGTATAAATAAATCTATAGTATTTATTTATATATATTTTTTCTTTTTACTCCACTTTCATAATTTTTTCTCCTTGCGATTTTTCCCTTTTCCTAACTGATTTCGCCGCCTGCATGCTCAATTTTTTTCATTTCGGGCCTTGTACCTGCAAGAAATACTATTGAATCATCTCACTACTAAAGCGTAACAGAATTATAAATTGCTCTTTTATTGCTTTTCCCCTTTTCAAGCAACATCTATCTCAATAAGGATAGCAATACTGATGATAATAACATAATTTCAGCGTGGTGTTCGCGATGACATAAATCTTTTCTACAACACATATTTGCCAGATGTGTTCGATGTACCAAAATATGCGAAACCACTGAATGAAATTATTAAACAAAAACGAATTGACCTACATTTAAGACGTAGTCTAAAGAAAGTCAATGTAATTAAGAAAGAAGCTGTTTTTGATTTACTCGATGATAAAGCCAAACCAACTGGTGCAACGGCTGTTCAAAAAGTGAACTATTTCATTCTTCCAATCATTTGTTCATTTGTTTTTATTTGTTATAGTAATAAGAGCTATGAATGTTATGCGTAGGTAAGATGAACCTAACTTCTGATCTGGTGCATAGTTCAGAAAAGAATATCGTTTCAATTTTATCCTATAGAGTATGAAAGTGATTCAAATCATATGAAAGATGCAAACAAAGAGGATGATTGGGATAAACGAATGATTTTTAGTATGATTTTTTGCACGTTGTACCACCATGTTCTCCGGTGAAACCGATTCGAGAATGTGCACAAATTTTAAACGAAAATGGTTGGCTGGCAGCTGATGCGGCAACTTTACAATCGACGAAATTTGCGAATATTTTCGGTATTGGTGATTGTTTGGGCACACCGAATAAGAAAACTGCGGCTGCTGCTTGTGAGCGTTTTGTTTTTGCTTTTATTTGGATTCATTATTTAACCGATCATTTATTTTACTAGTGATAAGCAACTCATGCGTTCAGACTCTCATTTACGTGGTAATGTCTGTTCAAAGACCTTCATTCATCCGAATTTATACATTGATCAGTTTTATTACTGTTCGTTTTTTTTGGTTTTAGTAAATATAAGATGAGGAGTAGATGGGGAGGTAGGGTTATGTGTGTTTAGAGGTGGATAAGATGGATGTTAAGAAACATTGGCCTTAATTCTTGATCTATTAATCCTTCCCTATTCGAATGTGAAACTGCGATTAAGAACCTAGAGTTCCGAACGTACTTGTTTCATAATCTTATGAAATATAAGATTATGAAACACGTTACGAATGCCGCATCATTTCGCAGAGATGAATTGACCTCGGTCATGCAACTTGCCATCCAAGAGCATTTGATTGATTCGACTCAATGAACTTATTTATTATGCTTGCTAATTTTTACACTTTCTTGCTTTTAGTTTCCCAATTAAGAGCTTTGGACACGAACATTCCAGCATTTCTGAATGGAAAACCACTGACAGGCCGTGTACGTAACTTTCAAACATTTTTTCTATTCGTCTTTTATTTCTTCTTTATTTTAACTGTACATTAATTTGTTCTCTGAATTAAGGCAGATGTGAAGTGACTTAATTACGGCTCAAAATGAATAAGTATTTTCAGTATAACTGTTACTCATCATGCCCACTAATTGTTTCCTTCAATCGTGTCGTTCTGGCTGAATTCACCCCCGACCATCCATTAGAAACGCTGCCGTATGATCAAGGAAGACCGCTTTATACGGCTTATCTCCTCAAACGATACATTTTACCGTTTATGTATTGGACAGTTGGACTTAACGGCCACTGGTTAGGACCAGCAGCGATGCGGAAGATACTTCATTTTGGAAGAGGTGAATGAATAAATGAGTGAATAGATTACGTTTCACTGAATTTATCAACGCTGCAATTGAACTCTGAATATTTTGATAGAATGAATTCGTTTAAATGCTGAATTGTTTATAAATGCTCTCTTTATCATTACTACACGCACATTCTCATATGTATTTTCATGCGACATGGCTTACCACATACGTTGCTTGCTCGATTATTCAACCAGATCACTCCGATAACTGCTGTTATCAGATTCCTAACTGCATTTCACTTGATAGTTCTAATCACCTGATTTTATTATTATCGTTATCATTTGTTTTATCAGTATGATATTAGCGTATTGAATTCTGTTATTATTATTATTATCAGCGTATCGTGATAATATGTAACAGAAGTGTAGTATTTTTACCGGCACGTTATATATGGCATAACAGAAGCAAAAAGCTGATCAAACTTTATCAATGTGACGAAATATTAAAATATCTTACAAATATATAGGAGCATATTAGTAATTACTAACGTTATTATTATCATTATTGTTATTACTATTTTACAACCTGTATTCTGTGAATTAATAGATACAAATGAGATCGTAAATAATATGTGTCGTGTTAAGAACAGATTGCTTTATAGGGATAGAATAAACGAACGATCAAAAACCAAAACTTTATGAGCTTCTTTCGTCCGAGAATAATACCGACTCGATGGTTCGTCTGATGGTTTTGAGGTGTGGTGGACTATTCGAGTAAAATATCAAACGCTGTAATAAAATTAATAATACTAGTAACAGTATGACTTTTGATAGTTCATAAGTGATTTTTTAAAGTATATTCACTTTCTTAAAGTATTTTAGAAAAGATAGTAATGTTGTTTATGATGAAGTGATAAAATTATTAAAGGTGGACAAGAGAATGAAAATAAAACCAAATTACCTTCACTTTTCGGAAATCTTCAGTTATTGAGAGAAATATTATTGTTTTAAGGATGGCTTCGATAATTTGTTCGATATGTTCTTCTAGAATAAATGAGTAAAATAACAAGAGATGATATCAAGAATAATAACGATACTAATAACAGAAATAGTAGTAGTAATAATGATAGCAATAATAATAACAAAAACAATAATAATAACGATAATGATGATAACGATAGAAGTAAATAACAATGAATAATCTGCGATATACTATTAATGATACTAATAAACGTTAATCGTACTTGTTCCGTGCATGAATTGTGAATCTAGTTTGAATTAAATGTCCACTCAAATGCTAATAACTAAGATTTTTTTCTTTCTAAATCAGGTTTCTTCACGGGAGTTCTCGTACTCCCACGGCCATTTTAACTATTGTTGTGGGGGTTATTAGCACATCTCAACATTTTTCAAGGGGTGTTGGTAAGAAGAAGGATTGGGAACCACTGCTCTGAGCGATGCGAATGTACATATATATTTGAGTTTTATGATTGAATATACCAGTCTTGATCAATCGAAATAATTTAATTAACTTAGCAGTCAAGAAGATAATCAAGTTTCGAAGCAAACTTCATAATGACAGAATCGGTATTCAGAAACCGTTGATGATGCAGGCAATATCGATTGTGCGTTTACTGTGTATAAATGAATGAATGTTGTTATATAAAAGAAATAAATCATGATGAATGAATTCGACATGGTAAGATAAGATAGGATACAGAAGGATAAGATAAGTGCCCATGAAATATGCAATTCACCTGCTGACACAATAACTGTATCGTTATAGTCGAGTGCTTGAAGAATGAAACTGATCGAGTTGGGCGCACTTTTCATATCACGCATTACAACATCTAGTGTTTCTCGCTTTTTTGAATAATACGCACCGAAATGATCATCTAAAACTTTTATTTTATTCATTTTGATAACGATTATTTTCAGTCTTATAACGATTATTTTTAAAATTATTATCAATATTTCTGTGTTGAAGTACTTTAACTGCAAAAGCTAGCGGAAAGACGTTCTCAGAGGGACTAAGTGATTATGAACTGGTTTGCAATTTGCTTCAAAAGACAAAACATTCAAAATTGCTAAACTTTGAGAGGAAAAATTATGGTCTATTGATTTTCAGGCGGAATGAAATATCCAGATTCGTCGAAGTTCTTTTGAAAATTTGGAACCTATTAAATTATGATAGCAGTCAATGACAACGGGTATTCAGAAATATTATAAACTTGAACGACATTCACTCAGCCATTCATCTACCTGTTGGTTCATGAAAGAAGAGATAATGTTTGTGTACCTTCTAACAATTGCTCTACATTAGGATCGGCTTGAAAACTTTCGAGTAAATGTTTCCGATTGATGAAACTGAGCAGGAAGTATTTTGGTCGTTTACCCTAAATGTGATCGTGTTAAAGCAACATTCGCTTATTCATTCGTTGAAGAAGTTTTCATTCACATTAATCATGTATGTGATAATTTTACAAAATATTTATAGCTTAATATATATTACAAGATTGTTGATATTTATTGTTTTGTTCACAGTTGAATATGTATTATTATAAGATTGTTTCATATGATGATAAGAATGTTTGTTACGAAATAATCAATTTATATAAATGTTTCTTCACGTAATGATATTTTGCTGCGCGTTGATCGAAAACGATTCAGAATATAATACAGTTATGAGGACGGTTTTTGGGATGAAAAAGATGTTATTGAAATGTTTAAATGACATGGCTTGAATGCCTGTTAATGATGACTAAAATCAACGACAAATGCAGCCAACCATCGCGTATTCGAGCTTCAGTCTGCGACCATTCTCTAAAACAATCGTCCATTGTTGCATGGTAAGTATTTGTTCTGGTGTGAAACGTGGTTCATCCTAAAACTCATCATTCGATTACTTACTCAGTGCATCAATAAACACCTCCAATATTATTATGACGAATTGCATCCATTCCTGTTCGTCCTGAGATTTGATCTCGCCATCTCATTTTCAGCAGTCGTCAACCTCTTTTTTGTTCAACCATTTCTAGATTAATATTCTATGTACTCGACCTTTACCCAATTGCTAATGCTCTTGCTATTAATATACGCCGTCCATTCAATTTCCTTTTATGTTTAATATTTATACGAATACTAATTAAATGAACTGAAATGAAAAGAATAACGGACTCGATAAGGACAATCAAAACGGAAACTTATATGTTGACTATGCTTATTGCTTTTGTAACAGCGTTGACAGAAGTCAATATTATCGCATGCTGTACAACGAAATCTTAAACCGCGTATTATCTGCTTGCAATACACACAAGATACGCCTTGATGCAAATAATTTCTCTGTAAAATTTTATTAAACACATCAAATAACTAGTTACATTAGTTTCCTCTTCATTGCACAATTTTTATGTTCCTATCGATTCTTGTTGTTATTGCGGATCATTACTATTGCTGTTATCATAATACTGCCATCTTATGGTTATCAATAATACGAGAAGCTTCATGTGATAACAACTTTGCGTATTGTCTGTAGAGGAAATTGCGTTGAAATAAAGCGGTGCATTTCTTGATAATGAAATTGGATGGATATGGATACCTTAAAAACTTTCATTGATTCAGTCAAGAAACCAATACAAACAAACCTCTATATGGTCGACACCGTCAAATGAACTGAAACAGTGAAATTCATCGAAATTTATGAAATTGAAGTATTTGATCAATTAATTGTTTATCTCTAAATTGCAAGAATACGTGAAATTTTCATCCTTCACTGAATTTGCATTCACAATAATTTAGCTTTGGTTTTGAATCCTTCGAAAATTTTTCTGTCCTATTATAATTTTTATTACTGTTGATTAAGTACTATTACATTTTAATAATAGTAGTTAAGTATGCAGTCAGTATCACTGCTTGGTTATTAATAACAAACCTCTTCTGGACAGTTTTTTCTTCTTTACCAATGATAAAGTGCGACGACTTCGGAGTCTTTCTTTTCAACTGAAAAAATTTCAGTTATCGCTTTTTGCAATTTGATCGTCTTTTGATTTTTTTGTGAAGTAATCGTCTAAAATACAGTTAGAAATTCAGTTCAGATTTTGAAACGATTTCATCCACTCTCTTTGTCTTTAAACAGTCAAAAAATATATAATTAGTAGAAGAGTGACGATAGGTACATACCACGAGGAGCCGTTCTAATCTTATGCATATCTCAGCGGCAAACGGCCTACTTCTAGGGTCATTCGACCAGCACCTGAAACACTGAGTTCGAGTTTTTGATTCTATGAGCCAAATAGCTTACAATTAGTGATCTCAGACAGAATGCTAGTGGTACAGTTATAACAAGCATTTGAGGTATGGTTGAATACTCAACTTCTAAGCGTTCGGAAGAGTACGAGTTCAGTAGGTTCGAATGTAGTGCAGTGTTATGTCTATTTACATACCCTAATGTTGGAAAAAAATATGTGTTTGCTTGCAGACGAAAGGTTAGCGGAGGTGGTTCGCTGATTTTCGCGGAGAAGTAGCTGGATGAAGCGGTAACCAAAGAAAGTAGCGTAAGTTATCGCTACTTTATGCCGCTATAAGATTATTCTAGCGGAAGTTATCGCTACAAATTTCCGTTGCTTGAAGAAAGTAGCGCACTATCGCGTAGCGAAATAGCGCGCTGGTGCTCACCTCAGGTTCTTGTTCTCTTTATTATTGTAATTTGATTAACTAGTTCATTGACACATACTATGAAACGAAAATTGGTTTGTATTACTAATTTCCAAATTGATTTCTGTTACTGTTCTTGAGCGTTTATTAGGATGACTTATAACTGAAGCATAATGAAAGAATAACAGTAATGATAGTAGCAATGATAATAATGTTAATGATACCACTAACAATATTAGTAATCTTAATGATAGTAATGATGCCATCGATAGTAATTGGCGATATAAATGATTATAACAATCAGTTGAGCAGTAAAGAAAGCGACGCTTACCCAGCGATCAATTTTGATACATCGGAGCAACAGATTTTCGAAATATCAGGTCTTGCGCCATGTGGCACCTTCAAGATGAGTAATCATTTAGTTTTGCCTTAGATCACAGTTAATTGCATTCATTTCAGGATCATTATTAATTACTGTCTTAAGAATAGATATCGTCGTTATCTACATCGTTAAACAGCAACAATCGTACTCGAAAAATAATTTGTGGCTCAATCGCTCCAAGACTGTTTTGTGGTGGTTGTCTGGTCATTAGTTCACTGAGTATAATACCAATGCTATAAACATCACAACGCATATCATATTCTTTGCCGAGGATCACCTTAAAACATAAAACATATCTGCAATACGGTCATTCATATCATTACAACGCATATCATATTCTCTGCCGACGATCACCTTAAACCATAAAACATATCTGCAATACGGTCATTCATATCATTACAACGCATATCATATTCTCTGCCGACGATCACCTTAAAACATAAAACATATCTGCAATACGGTCATTCACTCCATTTTGCTATTGTCATCATCGTAAATTCTTCACAGACCATTTGTAAATCTATGATTTTTCAATCGTTTAATGTACCGTATATAAAATTGGTATGTGCAATAAAGAGTAAGACCGATTTAAATTTACATTAAGAATACTTCATTAAATTGTAGTATCTTGATTCATCGACAGTGTTGTAGAGTTAATTTATAGAAATTTTCGGTAGTATTGCTCTTTTTTAATAGATTCATTTCTCGTTACGTCGCATACATTCTATCAGGGCATTTTGAATGTCCTCTGTTTCATCTATATATAT